TTCGATGAAATCCGTATCGGAAAGATGTTAACTTGAAAACACATACAAAAACGTAATAAGCACAGTGAAAATAGTAAATAATCAGTTTGTAATATAAATGATGCATAAAGTAAATGCAAACCAGCTTTTAAAGTGGTTTGGTCGTTATGACCAACATTCACTCGAGACCATCAGCTTTCACTACCGATCTTACCTCAACGAGTGAAGATCAACTACCCTTACAACTCTTTCTGCTTTTGATAGGCTCAGGAGAGAACCTTTACAACCTCCCTTTTAAACCTCACTCCTCCTTTAGAAAACTTGGAGAAAGAGACTCTAAATCTTTTCAACTCAAGTATTCTTTCCCTCTTTTTCAACTCAATTTCTATTGTTCCATGCAGAAATAGTTGGAATATTTGTAAACCTTAAATGACTTCAAAATTGGAGTAAAAAAAGGTCTCATCCTGGGTTTCCCGGGTCCTCGCGGTACCAGCGCCTCCAACATTGACACTGGGTGGTACTACCGCCTAACATAGTTTGGGAGATTATGTACCACCTGGGTGGTACAATCGCATGACACTAGGTGGTACCATTGCTCAGTCTAGTCGTACCACTGCCTAACAGTATATAAAAGTATGCTCTTGACTTTTTTAGCTTATGGGTGGTTCTTACTAACTTTGGGTGATTGAATGAGCCTTCCAGTTGGCCCAAAATAGTCTCAACTCAAGCCCAATGGACCCCTAATTAAGTTGAAATGGTTACACCCGAAATCAACTCAATTACGACCTAAACTAACTCGATCTAGACAAATTATTGCAAAGCATGAATCATCTATTGTCCGGTATGTCATTGGTTTTTTCGGTGCTTCGTCCGATCTTTCGGTGTATCGTCCTCTTCTTCGGCGTATTGCCCAATCAGCATGTTACCTTCTCACAACATCCGATCTCCTTAGCGCAATGTCTGATCTTTCTGGCCCGATGCCTAAACTAATGGCACGAAGCCTACTACCGACACGTCGATCATTCCTTTGGTTTAATGTCCAATCTTCTGGCATGTTCAATTCTGACCCAACTTCTTATTCTTCCTGCTTTAATCAATTTGTCTCTCCTGATGGAAGCTAGTCTTGCATCACTCAAAATGCAAATTAGATCATAACATTATCAATTGGTTTCAACATGAGATTTAATATTTTTTACTAATTATTATTAGATTTTTCTCACTTTATATTCCTTGTTGCATATATTGTGATATTCTTGAATCTATGCAATAAAAAATTAATCATGATGAGATCATGATAATGAGACCAATTCGCCTATAAACAAAGACCCTAAATATTTCTGATCATAGGTTACTCGAGAGAGACATCGAAATAACTAAATAGACTAGTGTGCTATATAACTACTTGTGTGGTGACACTAAGGATATAATGCAGGTTCCCATTGAAGAATGAGTTCACTGAATGATCCGCTCATAGAATGTTAGATGGTTGATGATAACTTATTATCGGATAGTGATTCCATAGTTCTAGTTTTGTGTTTGGTCCTTAAACTTGAGATACCAAGGATGTCATGTATGAGTACTCTACTCTTTGATATCAGATTTATATGTATGAAAGTTTTCGATCTAGCACATCCAGTTATCGGGAGTGATAACCAATTTTACGAGGGTAATTGAATATTGGTAGAGGATCATCCACTCTTAATATCATGAGAGGAATATCATATATGCTCTTGCTCAGGCAAATCCTTAGCTAGGGTCATTCATATTGAGAGAAAAAAAAATTCTTCAAGTGAATTTGATTAAAGTAAGGCTCGAGTAGATTTTGTATGGGCCTAATAACACCATGCCTTGTATACAATCTCTAGGATATTAGATGGATGAGAGATTATAATACATGATAACTGAGGGTAGATATGTTCAATGGATTGAAATCCCTTATATCGTTTGAAAACTATAGCATAATGACTTGCTACGTCCGTAGTCGATGAGTTGAGTGAATTATTATAGAAATACTAATTCATTTAATCAAAATGAGTTATGATAGGTACAACTCATGAACAACTAAATATTAAGCATAGAGGGTCACATATATATGATAGGTGTTGCAACGAGTAGATGTTTAGATATGAGATATCTACTGATCCCTTGTCTTATTGGATTTTAAATAAATCCCTGAATTATTGGATCATGTGGATAAGATTCAATAAGAGTTAATAAGATATTAATGGGTAGAGATCCACTAATTCAAGAGGCATTTGTAATTGGATAGAGATCTATTACCCAATAAAGCAGGATCTATTAGAGTTAAGTGATATGAACCTTTATAAATATGAGGGTCCAAAAGGTATCATGAGCTAGTTTCCTTTTGGCCACCCCTCCTATTCTCCTCCCTCTCCTCTCCCCTCAGCCGACAGCCCTTGTTTGGGGCATGTGGACAGCAAGAAGGGTCAAGCCCTTCTTGATCATGGTGTAGTCTTATGGTGCACGTGGAGAAAAAGATCGTGCTATGATTTGAGGAGCATTGTCACCCCATGTGCTATGTGGATCGCCGCTAAAGAGAAGACATTTGACCTCTTTTATCTAGAGATTTGGATCTACGATTTTAGGGATATACGATCTCACATATGTAAATTATCTCATATGTGTTATGCGACCTTCGGTTTTACATTTTTCGTACACCAATCTTCGCACACGATGATCCGATATTAGATTTTTTAAACTTATTTTGTTTACTATTCTTTTGCTGTGTAAGTGATGCCACCTAAAGTTTCCTAATAGTAGTGTAGACATTATTGACTTTGTTAGTTATATAGTGTTGTTTGCATCTTATATTTTTAAACAAATTATACTTCACCAATTCTAACTCCTTTTATTTTATATTATTGATAATTTAAAATTATTAATAAATTATAATTGGGCGATAACTATGCATTCTTATCTTCATTTCAACTATAGAGGATAAGATAAAGAATATGAATATGAAGTAGGGTGGTGACGCAAAGATTATTGGATATATAAGAGGCTATGTACTAATATTAATAATAAATTAAATATTATTTTGATGTACATATGATTTGTTTTATAGAATAACTTAAAATTTTATGTTTTATAGAATATCTTTAAATCGTATTATTTGTACCAATATTAATGATATGTACATATTTAAGAGGCTATGTACTAATTATTAATGATAAGTTAAATATCATTTTGATGTACATATTATTTGCTTTTTTTTTCTTTCTAATGATGGCTATGTATGATACAACTCACTCTATTTTGGAGACAGGTGTTGGTGAACAAAAGTGTTGTGGTTGGTGAGTTAGCATGGCTAGGTCCACGGGTCGATGTCGGGAGTTCTCTGTCGGCTGAGCTAGACGCCGAGGTAGGTCGGGCCTTCGCGACGGGGTGTTGGTCAGCGTTTCTTGGTCCGAGCGCCGTCTGCGTCGAGCTGCGTCTCTCCGTTCCCGGGATCGGTGACAACTCGCCCTCGTTCACCAAATGATGATCTCCAAGTCAAGGCACTCGTGGCTCGCGGTTGATCGCTTCCATACAAAAAAGGCCTTCGTCGGGTGATTCCCGACTTTGACCTCTTCAATGAGCAAGTCAGTTGTGGACGGAATTGCTTTCCTCCCCCTGGGCCGGATGCCGGCCAGAGGTCTTTATACTATTGTCCGAGAGTCGGTCGTACACGGGTTGGCGTGGCGGATGTGCCAAACAGTGCCTTGGTACGGATTCTGACTTGTCATGTCTTAAGGGCGGTGCCGTCTCGAGATTCCCGAGACTTGCCAAGTAACGACTTGGTTCGAATTCTGACCTGGGCTGTAGCGTGTCTTGGACCCAAAATAGACTCTATCAATAGGGTTTTGTTAAATCAAGCTGAATCGATCTATATGAAAGAATTGATTCATGTCTTACGACTAGTTCTAAAAATTATTTAAATAATTGTCTAAAGGCATCTTTGTCTAGAAAAAATAAGATGCCCCAAATAAAAACGAATAGAGGTATCATCTGATTAAAAAAACAAATAGTGAAAGATTTTTTAAAAGATAAATTATGCATACAAAAACATATCCATCTATGTTTGCCGTCATCATCATCATCATCATCAAGCAGGCTTGTCCGAGCCAGCTGTACCCAACATTCTTCATATAATGTTCTTGTAGAGAAACATGCAGCATCTGAGGCTACATATATTTTTCTTTTACGAGGAGTCAATTCGATCTTAGCAGCACCGCAAGCGAACGGACTGGTGTTCGTCTCTAATCCAAAACCAAAGTGGTGGATTAGATGGAGGGTTGAAGTATGTCACGGCTTATGCATGTGTTCTACCTTCTCCATGCGGTCTCTTCTTATACTTATTTCCAGAGTAATAATTTCCGGTGTTGCCGAGCGTTCCAGAGGAAGGATGTCCTTTTCGAAGTTAGTGGCCCCAATAAATGGCGACAAGTTGCTGATAAGAACCTTACGAGGGCGGTGTTTCTTTGCCTCACTTGTTCTTCTCTCACCGTGTATATATATATATATATATATATATATATATATATATATATATATTAGTTGCTCATTTGAATCAGGTAAAAGGTGGGACCGACCTGATCATGAACTCATGATGATCATGAACTCGATCGATTAATGGCTAAAGTGTGAAATAATATTAATATACAAATTAAGTCAAATCGATAACTAGTCATGTTTGATTGACTTTGGAATCGAACACCCTAGTTAGACGATTAATGTGTTTTGAGTGTCTATGGTAGGATATCAGCAAATGTCATCAATCGGTAATCACCAAAATATATGTAAGAAGCCTTCCACCCTCTCTCTCTCTCTCTCTCTCTCTCTCTCTCTCTATATATATATATATATAGTAAAAAATTATTTAGCCCGACAGCGGAGAAAAAAGAAAAAAAATAAAGGAAGGAAAGAAAGAGAGATCAATTCCATCTGAGTAATCCGAAATCTTCCTGCTTAATAAGGTGGTGCTGATCTTTTGTTTCCAAAGTGCTTCTCTTGAGATAATGTTGATTCTGAAAGAAACCCATGATTGAAATGCGAACAGCTAAATCCCTTATTTGGATAAAATGGACAACAACTATACATCGCTCGACAAGCCACGTATAATAACGATATATATGTCGTCACCATGATTTTAAGGACACACTGTATTATTTTCACAAGGAAGAAAAGGATGGAAAGATGTTGTCTTGGTCGTGAGAAGAGATATAGAAATTACAAGATCTCTGGGAGGACTCGATCAGCCGGCACGAATTTTCTTGCGTCCAGGGCATGGCAGCGGGATGAAGACCGAGGCGAGGTCGCTGGGGACGGGGTAGTAACCCTTGGGTGGAGGCCCGAGCTTCCTCTTCGCCGGCCGGGGTTTCCTCGGGGCCGGTGGGAGCGCCGGCTGGCACACGGGCTGTTCCGACTTTGGTGTAACGCACTCCGCCTCTCCGTTGTCGGTGGACTCGGACACCTCTTCTTCGGCCGGCTTGGCGTCGATCCCGGTGGTCCGGATCGGCGCGAGGGGTGGCGATTCCTGGGCGTCGAACTCCAACCCCATAGTTCGATGTCGACGATGAAGAAGTAAGCCACCAAGGGGGCTAAGGAGAAGACGAGGAGCAGGCGTGGAGGCACATGAGATGATGGTAGAGGTACAAAGGAGAGAACAGAATTATATGGTGAGATGGTGCAAAGGAGTTAAATAGTCATTGAAGCGAGCGAAGGGAAGGAGGGGCAGCGAGAGAGAGAGAGAGAGAGAGAGAGAAAGGCAAATGATTGCGAGGAATGGAGGCGTGGGGAAGGAGACGAGAGCTTCTAAAAGTACTGTGTGGAAAACGTAAGAAGCCGAAAGGAGGAGGAGAGGGTTGAAGCCTTTCTTAGCTGAGCTGTTTCATGTGCCTGCCTGCGTGTTGACCCACCGATGTGTCCTTCCTTTGCGTGGCTTGTGGGACACACCCTTCTCCGTTCTTAATTTAATAATAATAATAATAATAATGATAGACGTGTAGCGAGAGGTGCCATCCGAGACGGGAAACACGGTGGGTAAGCTACATGGCATCAAATGCCGCGGGACCCACCAGCTCTGCAACAGAAAGAGCTCCGTGTCCCCTCCCTTATGTGAGACAGGCGATCTCCTCCGTAGAGGTTGGTCAATTGTCTCTCATTGAAAGCCTTAAAAGTCTATAATGTAATTAAATGCAATTAAAAAAAAAATCCACATTTTGATAATTTTTAATTGGTATCTTTCTTCATTTTATTATTTTAAAAAATAACATTCCTAATTTAAAAAATATTCAAACTGTCCTTAAAAATCTTTTACATCGCTATAGACTTTTGATCTATTATAATATTTTTTTGACTTTTTACAGTGCTCTTTCTTATCACCACAATAAAAATATTATAAAATTTATTTAAAAAATATCATAAAATGATCTAAATAAGCTTTATACCTTAATTAAACTAATTAAAAGTCTAAAAATATTACATTATAATAATTTATAAACAATGACAATCAAAGAGGTATGGTATGATACCAATAAAATACTATAAATACTATTAAAACACACTGTAAATGAATAAAATAAAAAAACACTGTAATAATTAAAAATCAATAAAAAAAACGAATCGAAAAATTTGATGAAAATTTTTTAAAAAGATATTTTAAATATTTTTCAAATTAAGAGTATTATTTGAAACAAAAATAAAAAAAAAGGGGGTCAAAATATGAATATTTTTTAATACTTGAAAAAGAATAATAACACGTTCAAAATCAGGAGGTTTTTTTTTTTGAATTGACACGCTGTCTCCTCGTGGAGAGAAGGTCGAATCGAAGAGGAGCTCGAGGGGAGAAGTGGGAGACCAGAATAGAATACGAAAGTTGCATGTGATGTCCAAAAGGGTGGCAGCCTTCTTCATCAAGCATCCGACACTCCATTATTGACTTTGGACATGGCTTTCCTCCACTGCGCTGACATAAAAACTCCAGTGGTTGCTTGAGAAAGCACAAAATCTTCGAGTGATCCTAGAACCACTTGATGAAGAATTAATTTAGGCTCAGTACCATCTTCCACTGCATGCATGAAATGCCCTGCTAGCTCTGCTGCAGCAAGATAAATGTTGCTTGGAAAGCTCTTCTTCTCCATGTTCTAAGATTCAACTATACACGTAAACAAATGACCTTGTCACTTGTTGTTACCCTCTGAAAGAAATCTCTATACTCCTTCCTTCCGGGAGAAGAAAACGTGGAAGGCGTGTGTTGTGTACTGTTAGGGCTACCGCAAGATCATCACTTGCATGCTGCTCGAGAACGAGAGGTTGCTGCAACAAGCCATCGCCGAGGAATGGTAGTTGGTAGCAACCGGTAAGTGGCGCTGCATCATCTCTCCGTTTCAGTAATGAATGAATGAATGAAGTCCTATCCGAGAGAGAATACGGATCGATTCTGGTTTGTCATTTGTGTGATTCCCAGCTAATCTGATATCTCGAAAAGAAGCACAATAATAAGAAGCTAGTGTCTCTTTCTACAGGAGGCCTACGAGAGCAAAAGAAATGAACTTTTGACGACTGGAAAGTCGTGAATTGTACTTTGGAATCTCCCGAGATGTGAGAAAAAAGATGATGGGATTTCACCCGGCTTCCTTGGATGAGAAGGATTGACTACAATGATTCATTCCCTCGCAATATTTACAGACAGCTCTCTATTGTTTATAGCTAATGGCAGGCATTACTTTGGTAGATCTCAGAGGATGGATTAAAGGGAAGCCCGCCACATGCTCAACGTCATTTCGCACATGGCATGCACAGAACAGTGAGGAGGAAGCGTAAACACTATTCTACTCATAGTTACTAGGCGTTGCAGTAGGAAGACATTTATCCCCATATCCGCTTAAACATCACTTAGCTCTTTGGATTAAAGATAAGACTGGGCAGAGGATGGAATCTCATGGAAGCAAGAGGCAGGTGGCTGGGGATGAGCAGTAGTGGTTAGGTGATCCGTACCTTATCATTTCCAGTGACTCTCTTACACCTTCCAGTAGTAGTAGATTCCTTTTATTAGTACCTCTAATTGGCATTTATTTGGTCACTTTTGATTCTTTCTTCGTGAGAGTTTGAAGCCATCAGTCATCATAGTAATTAAGTGACAAAAATAAATGCATGGGATGAGCCATGTTACCACCCTTTCCTCTCCATTTATCATCCAAACCTTGCTAGCAAAAGCTGATTTCTTTCTTTCTTTCTCTTCTTTTACTGAGTGTCAAGCTTCCACGGAACATGTTGGTTCAACAAAAAACAGATAGGTACATCCAAAAACACTGGTGGAACAGGTTGGGTATTCCCGTGCTGACCAAAATATCAGCATAGGATGCCTCCTAATGATCCTCCCCGGTGATGGTGATAGTTGTGGTGGTTGTCTTGTCCACACCACCCTCAGCAGCTACCATTAAATATGTACCCAACCTTTCTTAGTATCAACACGTTTGTTCCTTATGATCTAGTAGTCACCTCAGTTTACACCAATATACACAAAACCATGTCCAAGAAGACGAGGTTAGTGTGCGTCCATATATTTCTTCCATTCGGATGACCTTTTTCTTGTGTTTAGTGCCACATATCCTGATAGGTACCAAAGAAGTATATGACGGAACTTTGGCGCACCAAACAAGTATCGAAACCCTGCAAGATTTATATGTAATGGCACTTTGTTGGTACACAAAATATGAACTATCGTATGGCCATGGAGACTGTGACGGTGATCACAATACCCCAAAGCCAAATATAAACGATGGCCATGTGTACCTTGGATGGAACCAGTTGTCGACTACCGTAGCCATTGCTTCAGTTAAGCATGTCTCGATGAAAGGAAACACACAAATGCAGTTCTTTATGGCTAATAAGTAACGTACAAGATAACATATATCCCTTACCTAATTCTGATTCCTGCTCCCACTAAACAAAAAAGCTCTCACTACTTCCAAGGGAGAGAGAAATTGCAGCAAGAGAGAACTTGGTACCAAAAAAATGCAAGGAAAAGAGATAAAGCAACCCTCCTAATAGCTGAGACAGTAGGGGTCACATATATTATAAGATAATCCCTGAAGAACTTTTTTTGAAGTGTGATATTTGGAATTGACATTGCTTCATTGTTCAGCTCGTATGTCTTCTAGCTGTTCTCCTTTTTTGATTTGTTGGGACGTCAGCCACCATATCGTCGAAACAGTGGAAGAGTAATCACAGACATCAATGGAAGCACTTCCATTAGGACGAGGGAAGTCCTTCGTACGTGCAATTTAGCTGAGGGCCCAATCCATTGGGTGGCCCAATTAACGAAGGCAGCACGGGGCCCACATGGTCTGCCTACGATCCGCCACGTAAGATTATTGCATTTTGCGTCTCGGCCGAGGACCAGAAAGGAAATAAAGATTCCAAAGGTGCCACGTGCCAGCTCCTTATTAGCGGCGCCAAGATGGAAACGCTGCTCGCATCGTCGAGCGTCCGCCTTCGAGCCCTCCTCCCGCGCTCCTGCTCTCGCCGCGTTCCCACAGTTGGGAAGCGGACCCTCCGACACACTCCTCCTCCTCCGAGGAGGAACATGAGCGCCTCCGCCGACGCAGCGGCGGTCACCGCCGGAGTCCCCGCGCCTTCCCCACCGGGAAGCGGCGGAGACAATGCACCTGGGGCCGACGTCGTCGTGCAGTACGTGGTCCTCCGGCGCGACCTGATCGACAGTTGGCCGCTCGGGAGCGTCGTCACCCAGGGCTGCCATGCCTCGGTGGCCGCCGTCTGGAACTACCGCCACCACCCCGACGTCCTCGCCTACTGCTCCGACCACAACCTCGACTCCATGCACAAGGTCTGTTCGATCAAATGCCTCTGTTAGCCTTTTTTTGTTTTTTTTAATTTCTGGGTCTTATGCTTGCTTTATTAGGTGACACTGGAGGTGAAGGGTGAAACGCAGTTGAGGAACCTGTCGGACAAGCTCAAGACGGGAGGGATCGATCATAAGCTGTGGGTGGAGCAGCCGGAGGACTTCCCCACATGCCTCGCAACCAGGCCCTATCCAAAGTCTCAGGTTGCCTCTTTCTTTAAGAAGCTAAAGCTCTGCAAGTAAGCAGTAAAGCAGTCAAAATAATGCCACCAGGTGTTCGATCTAATGCCATCAATTGTTCGATTGGTGTCTTTAACTGCTATTCCTCTTCAAACTGAAACGATTTGTGAGGTCTTCAATAAATGCATCCAACATTAGTATCTAAAGAAGATACTCTATAATTTAAAAAAAAATTAAAGAAAAAAAATATAAATATTGTTTTTGTATGTGAGAGGATATACAAAGTGATTGATTGATGTCGTACGGTGAAAATTTTAATTTATCTACGCGAATATAAAAGAGATTTATTAAACCATATTAAATGTTACATGACGTTTCCATGAGTTCTTTTACTTTTTGAAATTCTTCTATCCCTCTCCAAAACATCACCATTATCATCATTGCCTTCACAAAGAAGAATAATAAGAATAGCACAATCCTTATATCACAACACATACATGATATGGATACGATCATTATTTTTTTTTAAATTAAAATATGGATTGATCATTATTTTTTTTTAAATTAAAATATGGACTATAACACCCTGATTAGTCCTACATCCAAAGTGAACAAAACTAAAATTGACTTATAAAGGTCTAATAAGTATATTATTATTAATTTTAATTTAAATATTTTAATTTAAATATTTTAATTTATAGTTTGAGTCAAACGCAATTGATAGATCGATTAGTTTATTAAGCTCGAGCCTTAACATTTATGAGCCATTATTGGGTTATGCCTTACGACACACGTGCCCCTTACATTTATAAATTTTATAAACTCAACAACAAATAAATATCATTATATGAATTAAAATAATTATAATTATAAAAATAATATTAATAATATTAATATTAAAATATTAAAAAAATTAAGTGAATCAAATAATATTTAATGATCATTACATTCATTCGTGTTTCATTTTATCAACATCATACAGATAATTTTTAAAATTCTTCATTCAAAGATATTTAAGTTCAAATACTATTTTGTCATAAATCAAATTAATCTTTATAATATCTCATATCTTAATCTCTCCTTTAAGCATACAAATTATGATTATGTTATTATTATATAAAAAATTTAATGTTAGAAACTAAAAGTAAACAATGATAAATCAAATTTACAATACATATATTTCAATATCATCCAAAAAAAATCTTTATCCGATCTATAACTATACCATCATCAAATCGGAAAGAGAAGACTATATTTATGTTATGCTCTCTTTCTATCATTTAAGAGAAGACTATAGATTAATCTAAGATGATAATTATAATTATTATTCTCATTAAAATAATATCATAAGAAATCATACTATAATTAAAAAAAATTATTGATCCATAATCGTCATTAGAATCCAATCAGATATATAGTTAAATAAAGTCAGCCCAAAACCACTCGAATCCAACGGTTGTAAAGCTCACACCATCTTCGACCCTGCTCCTCGATTCTGTGCCCTAATCGAGGGACATCCCCAGTGTGATACCTTCTATCGTTTGAATCATCTCATCTCGATTTGGGATCGATCCAGTTTGATTGGATGCATGGCGTTGTACGTATCAGGATTTGTTCTACGGACGCGCACTCCTTTCGATCAATCGATCTCGATGATAAGTGCGTTCGGGTTCTCTTCTTTGGTTTCATCTTCGCCTCTCTCATCACAGTGGCACGAGCACATCACGCATAACATAGAACAGATGGGGACTACTGATCTGATCCAAAACGAAGAAGGAAAATGACAACACCCGAGGAAGATATCGAGGTACTGTATCGCGTACATCGCAATACGTTTGGTGGAAGAGATAAGACCGTGCACAAAAGCTGTCATCCACCGAGGGGTTCTTATAGCTTTTCTCTTTTATACTTTTTTTCTCCTGCACGGACTTCAGCATTACCATTGGAACATAAGTAGCCATTGCTATCACACCGTCCAATGATATATACTGCTGTTATACTGTGGTGACTTTGGTTGCTATCGATCGTAATGTAGTGATATGTAATTTCATGTGTGATGTCCACATATTTTATTTCATATGCACTTGTATTGCAGCTCCCAAAATGATCATCTAATCTTACATAACCTTACATTTACTCATGGAAAAGAAAGAGAGAAAAAAAAAAAAAGAGTAATAGGACAGTGGACTGAGTTTTGTGTTCTTAGCTTTAATCTCAATGGTCCAACATCAATGTGTTCTTGAGGTCATTTAACAATCTGGCTGTAGATGACGACACACAGCTTTAGTTCCAAGGATTAACATAGCAGCAACCTTGAGCGTTAAAGATCAACTGCAGGCAGATGTTGTACGCACCATGAGAGTTAAGATATTGTGTTCTCCCCCAAAGAGAAAGAAGAACATCGAAACAGACCCCCGTTCCACAGACACACACACACAGGAAAGCCGAAATAGCTTTGAGAGCCGAGTCAAAGATCGAGTTACAAGGTGAGATTTTAGGGAACGCCAAGTGCTGAAGTTACGATTTTTACATGAAAGATGGGATCTTGAGACCAGAGTGGAGCTATAATCCATCAAGGATAGGTGACGAGACGCCGGGAACAGTGGGTGCAGGAGTACTTCGTCGTGGTCTTGAGGCACACGGGAAGGCAGCAAAGCCGCAGCGACTTCTCCACGTCCGTCGCCATCACGACGCCGCCGCAGTAGGGGCAGCTCCCCGGCGCCTTGTGGGTCCCCAGCGCCTTCTCCTCCTCCCCGCACCCGAACACCAAGCACATCTCTCTTCCTCCCTCCTCTTCTTCTCCTTCGGCTGCTGCTGCTGTTGCGTTCTTCGGTTTGCCCATAAATAGAGGAGTACTCACCGTTGCTGTCACATACGATTCGCGTGCACAAAATCCATGTCCTTTTCATGTAAGATTAACTATCATTCCCAGATTTGTTCTTCGTTATCATCATCATCATCATCATCATCATATATAGGTATATATATTATATATAATTTATTGGGGTGACTCTTGTGCTCTATCCAATGTAAAGACACTTTAGGCGGACCATTTTCTAGCTAGACACTGTGATAGCCTTCGTCGGTAATCATGTATCTGGTGCAAAAGCCTTCCGCATTGAACAAAGCACCGAAAAGGTTAGAACATAGCAATGACATGTTCACGTCGGAGAGAAGCTTTCACTGGCTTGACGTGCTGGTCTCTGTCACACCACCTTTCATTTCAAGGGTTTCCAACTTTATCATTGATTTGGTCAAGTTACAGTCTTATTATATTTATTTTGAGACCCACTTATTCTAGACAAAGTCGCATCGGCATATTTGATAGGGTATATTCAATCAGAGCATATTTGACAGGGTATATTCAATCAGAATCACGTCCAAATTGACGTGGAGCCTCACGTGACACAAGCACGTTGATATAACACCTTGGACCCTAAGTGAGATAACGGACCATACTCCGTATTGTTCGGGGTCGTACGAGACAACGTCGTATAGTATAGAATCGTTTAAAAACATGTGAAACGTCACCGCACGACACGAAACTGTGCAGGCCAACTATCTGAAGCCTCGATAGTTATTAATGGATCATGTACGATTGATTCTCAATCGTACATATATAGACCGACCTCCCCTGACCAACGTTAGGAGATGAACCTTGAACACTAAAAACACTTTAATTCCTCATATTGACTTGAGCTTTAAAGGGGTTAAGCTGAGAATCCCTCTTCCGACTTTAACCTGTGTGTTGGAATCTAACGTGGAAGAGCCCAACGTGTTAGAACCAACCTCTTACTCTATTTCGAGTCAATCCAGTAGACATCGAGTCAATCCAGCAGACGATGTTCCCACCCGACCTAGCACCGACCTGCTAGCTTCAAGAAAAGAAAACACGTGGGCGACCTTGTGTTCTCGATATCGATCGGAGCCGTGATACCTCCCCCACGGCTTGAAGTTGCACAATAATATTCGTGTAAGAGAACACGTTGCAAGTTATGCATCAAATGTGTCTGCTTGCATTGGAATTATACAGAGATTAGGATTATACGCATTCTAATATGGACCATCATTCATCGACGCATTCCCTTTCGGTAGATGCAGCAGTCCAAATACTGGATCAGAGACCTGCCTCGCACGTGGGAGGTAAGATCCACTTACGACCGTACGTAGTAGCAGTCATGTTGCGCCCATCACGTGACGCCAACACGCCACCTACTCCCACGGCCGCCGTCGGTTCCACGCGAGGTAGCCGTATCGCGAGCAGCGACAGGTTGATGGTGGGCTTGCCCGAGGAGGCCGACGACGGAACGCATCTCGGCTCACGTGACTCCGACGCGTCACTTGCTCCTGTCCGTGTTTCCACGAAAGGGCGGACGAGCCGCCGTACCTGCTCCGCTGCAGCCGTCCGTACGCCTGACGCCATCGTGGTGGTGGTGGAGGAGGAGGTCCCCCCAAGGCGTGCCAACTGCAGGCCCTGACACACCCGTCGTTGGATGTCACAGCGTCCTGCAATTGTAGCATCATATAGTGATACCATGACTTGAAATATGTATGTTCCAACTGATCAAAACAAAACAAAATCAGCCTGCTTGGAATGAGTCATGGGTTGCAGAAGAAAAATCAATAATATGGTTGTCAAGGTTGCAGATGATAGAACATGATGTGCACAACTCAGTAGAAATTCCTCGGTGAGTAAAGCCCCACATGGTGTTACGTGGTTTCTTCAAAGAACCTACAGATCTTTTGTGTTACCTATGTACAACTCTACACTCATCCACCAAGGGTTGGATGCTCCCAAAAAGTCTGGATAGAGTTAGGCCAATCATCAAGAGGTGGGTGAATAGTTCCTGGTGGATGTAGGGGGTTTCATCTGGACATGCTACTGCTTCCACTATTTCAAATTGCAACTTACTAGCTTATACAATAAAATGATATATACAATTGAATCTTTCAAAAAACCAAAAGATAATAGAAAAGAGAAGCATAATAAAAATGAGAAGCAACCAAATGTCTGGTGGTCTATGTGACAATGTGTATTAAGGACCATGAAAAGCACAGTTATAAGCTCAAGTTAGGTCTCAGGCGAGGCCATGCTTACTCTCAAAAATAGTCAGAATTTTACCTCATCAGCTGAAACACTACACTACAGGTCTTACTATGTTTCAACCATTTCAGCCAAAGTTAATAATAGCTGACTGGTTTAAACATTTGCCCAACCCTTTAATAAATGGGGAAATTAGCAAGCAAGATATGCAAATAGCTTCGTCTAACATGCATGCCAACATTCGCATACATCTCCAAACCCCATTTTCACCTATATGATTCATATTTTTTTACAAAATCCAAGGAAAATAAAAAAAGTTCATCAAGGCTTCCTTGAGCTTTTCCTACATCTCATCATAACTGTCTTCAAGAAGTCCCAAAATAGACCCACTTGTGATTGTGTACACACATCTGGTACAAATGCACAAAAAATTAGCTCGAGTTCTGGACAAGGCATCATATTGAACCCTCCAATGAGCTACAGCAACTTGTGCTAACTACATAAGCTAAGTGGGTCAAATGAACATATAACACCACCACTCTCTTTTTCTCATATTTTTCTCAAATCTATCAAATCCTTGTATACCCCGGTATCGTTGGCACAATTTATTTATTTATACCTATAGGAGTCATATTATAATTCCTTAAAACAACATATCATAATATATCATTCGATATTATTTTCTGTAGCATATAATGCATAAAAAAAGAAAAATTTCTTCAACCAAAATTATAGAAAGTATACAAATCATCGAATCATGTGCTATAAACAAGATGATATCAAAAATAAAACAACAATTAAAGCTTAGCGCACATGCACCAAAGGAAATCTCCAATCAGGTTAATGAACAAAAGAAAACAACTCACCTCTCTCTAGCCTTCTCAAATTCATCTTTTAGACCCATTACGTATAGTGCATGGAGAGAGTCCACAAGGGTTGCTCCAAGGCCACAAAAACTATTCACACCACTCTTTGATTGCGACCGGTCATAGAGGGAAAGACATCACGTAATTACAATTGAATCTTAAGATTGAAAAGCCAAGAAAAGAAGTTAGTTCATAAATAAAAATGAAACTATAGCCTTGAGAGGCTATTGTATTCAAAACAAACCCGAAAGAAGCGTAGTCGCCTTAACCTTTTCTCTACGTTGATTGTTAACAAGATCAAATTCATTGATAAGTTTGTCATTTGTACCAGAGGAAACTTCGCCCCGCATGACCACCACCCCTCTACTTTCTGTAGCCACAGGGAAACATCAGTAGAGCAACCTTCAAACATCACTAAACTAAAGGAACGATAGACGAATACATAAACATTGAATTTTACATGATCGTGCAATCGGTCCTCTTAAATCTTGAAATGTGTTTCTGGTAGAGGAGTTCACACATTGCAAAGGAGCCACTTTATCAATTTATTGAACTGAAATCATGCCTTTTGCATCCCCAAATAACATGTTCTCCAATTTTCAAGACGATGGTTGCAATGCTTACCAGAAAAGTTAAGGGGCTCTCCAGTTCCAACCAACATAGAAGAAATGATGGCTCCACAGATAGACCATTCTTGTTCCAGCCTTTTTTTTTTTGTTCTCATTAAAGGTAAAGAAATCTGGTGTGTAGGTTTTTATAGGCAAGCAATATAAGATGATCCAATTACCGAGAACTTCAAATCTAGCCAACGATCAGAATCAAGCAAAGACAAAAATTAGGGAAGAAAGAATCATACGAGCGGAACGAAGAATGGGGCGTCCCTCACCTCATGCTCCCGGATTAGGTAGGGAAGGCCAATCCCAGATGGCAATAACGAAGATGACGAAGACGAAGGCGAGCCGCATCGGGTGCCTGAGGTAGTAGGCGGAGTGGAGGTACCGGTGGCAGCTCGAGGAGGAGGAGGAGGAGGACCTCCGAACCATCGTAACGTCCGGAGACGAGAACCCTGACTCCTTAACTAACCTTAACCTTACTTATTAAGCCTGAAGTCTAAATATTCTATTAGTATATCATCAAATCCTTATGCATGCGAGCCTAAGTGTGCTTCCACGACAAGGGTCGACGAACCCGGTTCATTCGAGCAGACCGGGCCGCGGAATTCCGACACCAAGCGGTTCCCACGGCCCACTCCAGGGACTTGTGAAGTTACCGTGTAGCCCTTCGGTTCGACGAAGAAATGGGCATGGGACATCGCTCGTCTCTGCCCGCAAAGCCAACTTACAAAAGTATTCATGGTCGGTGGATGACTCATAGAAGAAGATATGGTAATTTGACGAAATTGCAAAGGGTAATATTGATATATGGGGATGCCCACATCCCCTGCCCGACGCGAGCAGGCGCACCCGATCGGAAGTCACGTCCCCTCTCTCTCTGTCTTTCTCTCTCTCTCTCGCTGATGTTCCTCTCCGACCGCATTCGATCTCGCTTTACCGACCCGAAAGATCTTCGATTCCAAATTGTTCGGGTGAGTTCCCCTTCTCTCCAAATGTCGCTCTTCGCTTCTTTGATGGATCAGAGTTTCTGATGTCTTCTGGGGAATCGATTTCTGGTGGTTCTTTCATTTGGTAGGTGATTTCGGAGATTCTTTGTCGTGATTTCCTATTATTGTGTTTAGATTGTGTTTTGTCTGAAGATAATGTGTTTTTGGTTTTTCGTTGAAAGCCGGCAGCTTCGTCTGGGTTTTGTGGAAGGAACGATTTCTTAACTAGGGATCCGAATTTTCACCTACACGGGTTCTCTTGAGATTTGATTCATTTTGTTTATTCTAAGTCTTCTGCAAGATCTGGATCACTGTTCGGCCGTGCAAGATGAGACCTTTTGTGCCTTTTGATTCGGTTTCCTTTCGTTGCTACATGATCGAGCTAGCTAGGGTTTTTCTTTTGGGTTTCTTTACTTTCCTCGGAATAGGTTGATTTGGGGGATTTGTAAGATTATTTCTGCCAGACATGGATTTATGAGCTGGAGGATTTAGTTGTTTTTTAGGGCAATCATTTGAGAGTGTCAATAAACTGTGTGAGGTTAGATAGGGTCATTAGGCAGTGCATTGACAGGCTGTGTTCGTAACAGAAATGTACGACGAAGGAAGGAATACCTCGATCATTTGCTTTGTTATACATCGATTTTGAGATGGCATACGAGTTACCTATCAAGTTTCTTAGACTCGGTTACGTTAGTTGGATGGCTGTTGCAAAGAAGCACTTTGCGCTTTGGTATAAATAATTGATCTGCAGCTTATTGCTGAATTCATGGTAGTATGGCTTGTTTGGTATGCCACAATAAATTGGCAATATGCCACAATAATCTTTCCATCCTCTGATGGTTCCTCTAAAGTTGATTCCTGTAGTCCTGTGAGAGCCAAAAGCAGTAATTTTCAGAGACAAATCGATTTTGATACTCTTGCATTGCACAGGTGATCACTGTCTTGTGCATTCATTGACAAGCTAAGAGTGGTAATGTGTTGCCATCTGAAGCTGGATTTGTTGTAAGTTATTCGAGGGCTCACCTGGTACTCTATTGGTAGTTAGCACCTACTGTTGATCCACTAGTTTTCTCAGTTTCCTATTAGGTTGAGAGAAGTTAACATATGCACATATTTTGACTCGAGGAAGGAAGAAGTTTGTGGATGGAAAGATAGAATAGGAAAGTTTTAAGAATAACATTTATTTACACCAACATTTTTATTATCTGGCTACTTTCTTCGAATGAAATCAAGGATGACAAAAGGACCATGTGGTGTCAATCATGTTGAACGGATTTACATTTATCTTGGCAAATCTATTCATGAGTTGATATCAACTTTCATTGATATTACTTGTTAGCATGTCTATGACCTTTTTTCAGAAAATTTTTACATCAACTGGAAATTCATTTATAATTATTGCAGGTGTAGATCAATAGTAAAAATTTTATTCTACACAGTGGCTATGATCTGAAAACATCATTTGATGACTTCAAACTCTCTTGAAGGTCATTGGTACCTATTCCATATAAAGTTATGAGAAGTTCTATATTTTGTCTCAGGACATAATATAATAGTAAAGTATATCTGCTGGTATATACTCTGAATGATGGAGGTGAGAGAACATTGCCAAAGCAATGGCACTGAAGGGTCAGAACGTTAGCAAACAATGATACACTTCTAACATACACAATGATGTTTTTCTGATATTTATTTGAATTTTGAAGATCCATGAACTTAACCTATGTATAATTTGGATATAACAATGGATGATTTCTTTTAGCAAAGAGAAGCAGTTGAAACCTATGTGTGCTCTAGACTGATCACATTGCATGGTGCATACCTATGTAAGTTTAGCACATCAAATTATCTACTTTACAAGCATTTTTCCCTGTTACCTTTCATCTTATAATGGTCAAATTTTGTGTGGGCACATTACTTCTCATACACTAGCTTATATTTTTTTGTTGCAAGGCTGTTATACATTCCTGTTAACTCTCATCCTATGTGAGTTGCAAGGTTGTTGTCTTCTGCATATACTATCTGCTTGTGTAAGTCAAACATTCTGGTGTTTTGCATTTGGCAATGTGTCTTTTCACCATACGATATTATAATACTGTATACCTATTACACACAAGAGTACATGGTAGAGACTGGCTTCTCTTCTGTTCTGGTCAACTCTTGACTTACTTCTTTTGAAAATAATATGAATTGCCAAGCTTAATTATGATGGTCAACTTTTGGGGATGGTGAAATGGGAAGTTGATAGGTATCTGTTAGCTGTGGGAGCCTGGATTTTAATCTCAGTATCTTGTTAGGTGTTAGTATTATAAGCATGAGTGACTTTGTGACTAATAAAGACATCACCAGAGAGTATTCCTTGATGTATCAACTCCAATAGTGGAGCTTTAGTTCTTCCTTTTCTTTAAAACTGTGGTGTTATTCTTACTTTAGATCATGTAAATAGATTGCCTTCTTGTTAGGAAATTAAGTGTAGATTTTAGCACTCGTAAGCAATTCTTAATTCTCAGTCTCACTTCTTTCAGTTGAGTATCATACTAATTATTATCTGTGACCTTTTTAGCACAAATTCATTGTGAGATTCTAACTGCCACTGCTTTATGATTCACAAGCACCTAAGTTATCCTTTTTCAAAAAACCAACTCCTATACCATTTCTGCAGATCAGCTGCAGCAATCGGTGACAATCCCTGTAGTCTGAGTTGCACCCAAGCATAGTGGATACAGCAACCCGATCTACATTTTGTGTTGAAGGTCGAAGGAACACTCTTTGCGGTCACTTTTCCAACAATGGTGAGTGTAATTTTGAAAATTTTGAATTTAAGAATCTATCTGGGCCAGTTGCTTAGAATAGCTGGTGAAGTTTTCTCCACGATACTAATTTGTTTGCTATCTTAAGCAGGCAACCAATGAGAACCTTTCACCAAATGTCATCAAGCAACTTGCTAAGGAATTGAAGAATTTAGACGAAACACCTCCTGATGGCATTAAAGTGATTGTTAATGATGATGACTTTTCTATTATATTTGCTGATATTGAGGGTCCTGGTACGTGACTGAGTAGAGATATCTTTCCATTTACCTTTTGGCATGGAAATTAACAATCCACAAGTTTGTGCTACACAAACCTGCAGCTGGAACTCCATATGAGAATGGTGTATTTCGCATGAAGCTTTTACTGTCTCATGACTTCCCCCAGTCTCCTCCAAAAGGTGTTGTATTGTTATTGTATGCTAATGTTAGCAAGTCATACTGTTATTTATAATTTGACAAGGATCAAGTTTTCCATTATTTTGCAGGCTACTTCTTGACCAAAATATTTCATCCAAACATTGCAACGAATGGTGAAATTTGTGTCAACACACTCAAAAAGGATTGGAATCCAAGCCTTGGATTAAGACATGTGTTGCTTGTAAGTTCCAAGTGTTCCTGATCCACCTTCATGTTCTGTCAATCACTATTGTTACTCAACCAATTCTAGGTATGGTAATGAGCTGTAGCCATTAGGGAAACATTACTTTGGAATTGTCAATTCCCACTTTGATATGTTGTTTTAAAGGGATCTTTGTTGGAAAATTCATCCTGAGTCTTGACTATGTTGGTGTTACCATAATATATTATCTAAATCAGAATTTGTTTAATGGTCAGCTGTTTTGCTCTTGTACTAACTCGAGAGATCCCACAAGTACAAAGTTTGCAGCTTGTTTTTATGTCGCTAATGTGGTCCATGTTGTTGCTTCCAACAGGTTGTCAGATGCTTGCTCATTGAGCCATTCCCAGAATCTGCACTAAATGAGCAAGCTGGTAAAATGTTGCTTGAAAACTACGAGGAGTATGCTAGGCATGCAAGGTTTGCTGCTCCTCTCTCTCTCTCTCTCTCTCTCTCTCTCTCTCTCTCTCACACACACACACACACATACACACGCCCTTGCACATGCATACACACATTTTGCTTTTACTACCAAAGAGCCAGTAGACCAAGAAAACTCTCTATTCGGTTGGTAGAGATGTCCATATATTACGACATTAGCCTATTCACTTTGGGTTGATCTGGATAACTGCTATGGGTGGACAGGCTCATGGTGAGTTTTATGATGCATCTCTGCAGGTTATATACAGGGATACATGCTCTTAAACCTAAGTCGAATGTTAAGACGGGGGCAATCTGTGAGTCCACCACAGCTTTAAATGTGGCTCAAAGAATTACAGAATCCACTGGGAAAGAACCCTTGCTTACCACTCCATTATCTACTTCTTCCAAAGGACCAGTGACAAATGCACAAGATCAGAATGCCAGTATTGCCCCTCTAGTGGAGCCTGTTGTTGGAGCATCAGCAATTCAAAAGAGGGAAGGACTTGCTGTAAAAGCTCAGGTAGATAAGAAGAAGATTGATGCTAGGAAGAAGAGCTTGAAAAGACTATAGATATATCTTATATTAGGATGTCGGGTGCAGTAACTAGTCAAGCTATCTACTAGATGTGCTTAGCAATTGGAATAATCTTAACAGCAAGCAAACTGGGGTAGAAAGGACATCTCTACGAATTGTATATCTTAGTCTCATTCTTTGTACATTGTTTATGCAAGCAACGTTATTCTGACTGAAGAATGTTGGTCCTTCTGGGCTATAAAGTATCTCACTTGCTGTGTACTTGCATTGTCTTAGAACTCCTTTTGTTCTACTAAGCTGATAGCCAAAGTGACTTGTCTGCTTTGTTGCTCTCTTTAACACTAGGATCATTCCGTCTTTTACCTTGAGGCAGTGTTACTCTAAAATCAATGCTTTTGAAATGCATATGAAGTTTTTTTCTGGTTGATTTATGTGATTGTACATTTTATTTTTGTACCTAATCTTTTCTTGCTCTTCTCCTTTGTGTGACATTGTTTGCGGCAATCAAAAGCAGGAAACCTCATGCATCTTGTTGGAAATAGACCGACTGTTGAAGTTGATGTTAAATTGTTCTTGTGCTCAACTTTTTTTGGTTCGCCAAACAAAGAAAAGAAGATTCGATCGTAGCTTCTGTACATCCTCTAGTTGGCTCTCGAAAGCTGCCAGAATATTGATCTGTCTCAATATTCCCACTCCACTAGCAACATAACTCTCCAGACAGAGTCCATCAAAGAGCTTGCTGATTTCATCTCTCGGTTGCATTATTGTATCTTTGCTGATCTCATCAGCTGCTTGACCTCACATCTGAAGCTTTCAACAACGAGTGGTTCTTCCTGTGACACAGCTTGAAGGCCAGCAATTTAACGTGCGATGCACGTTTATATCGAAGACCCAGTGTTTGTGGCGAAGCACATGAGAGCTGAGACGAGCGAGTCCATGGCTGAGCATGGTCTTCGGTGGCACTCCTCAGTGCCTCAATCTGGTCTCATATCATATGCACCGGTTAGGAAAACTCCGCCATGGTCCATAACATCTTTCCAGATGTAAGGTCAATCGAGCTCTTGGCCATGCTTTCCACGCCCTGTTTTGTGGTCCGTCTTCCTCGCTTGAAATCTGTGGTAGCTCCATCCTTTGGTGAGTCCACAATTTGGATCTCAGGTGGAGCCAGAAACTCCGCAATCTCATACTGTAGTAGCCAAGCCAGTAGGTGAAGGAACACGTCGTTGGGTCCCCAAATCTAATGCATGCACTGGTGACGGTGTTCGTTTCCCCGTGACTTCATTGAATCAGATCCATGCAATTACCATGTCCCGAGCGCTCCTCTCTCTCTCTCGTGCGCACACGTGGCTGGGAGTTGTGGCGTCCCTGTCCGGCGACGACGACGTCATTGCGCCGCACAACGAGTGGCTGTGATGCGTTGAGTGCGTCGGAAGAAGACCCCGCCCGCCTTTAAATATGCCCTCGGATTAAATGACCCTTCCGCCCTCGTATCCGCCTCACTCGTGAGGGTGATTCCGTCATTTCGGAACGAGATGATTGGGATTCTTTTCCCGGAGCCACATTTTTTCGCCACGTGTTTCCGACCGGCGCCAAGCGCAGATATTTTGTCGAGTAACTATGCGTGGCAAGACCCGCTGGGTCCCACGACGATTGTCGTTATGGCGCCTCGAGACTACGTATGTTGTGGTCAACAAGACCGAGTCTTCCGACGTCGTCTACCCGAAGCGCAATTGGGACGGACACACAGGTGGATCTCACGTGGTTCGGATCGCCCTCCAACCGCGAGGCGGGTAGAAGCGTGGATGAAACGTAAACGTTTTAAGAGTTGCCGTCGAGCTTGTTGCTTCCGTTGGAACACCGCCACTGCGGGTCCCATCACCAGTGCCACCGCATCCGCTCATCCTCGTCGGGGAAAATAGATCTTCTTATAATAGATGGAATTATGGAGCAAAAAAAGAAAAATAAATGTAGTGGCCAATGCGCGAGCAAAAAAGACGACCATATAATAACGAAAGAAGATGAACAGTTCGAGAGGAACGAGGTATGTGGACAGGGATGGCCCTACGACCGCCACCGACTCCCCCCCCTTATGGTCCATCCTTGTCTTCCCCTCCCTCTCTCTCTCTCTCGCTCTCGCTCTCGCTCGGCTTATATTAGAGCCTTCTTCGCTTAGATTACCACCCCAACTCCAAGTCCAACAAAGCATCCTCCTCTCTCAACCACCGAACCGAACACCACTGTGCCTCCTGCAAAAGAACCCACCTCCGCCTCCTACACCTCAGTTTTGGACATGAAGCAGCGACCGCCCTGCGAGCTCTGCGGCTGCGAGGCAGTGGTCTTCTGCGACCCGGACGCGGCCTTCCTCTGCTGGGCCTGCGACGCGTCCGTCCACGGCGCCAACTTCCTCGTGGCCCGCCACGTCCGCTTGGTCGCCTGCCCCGCCTGCGACTCTCTCGACGCCGCCCGCCGCGTTTCCGGAGCCGCTCCGTGCCGGGTCCGCGACTTCTGCGCTTCCTGTGACCCTGACTCTGTCTCTCCTCCCTCTCCTTCCCGCTCCGCCGGCTCCTCGTCCTCCAGCTCTTGCCTCTCCACCTCCGAGTCCACGGCGGCGCGTCGGGGGGTGAAAACCGCCGCTCCACGGCGAACGGCAGCGAGACGGCAGCGTGGGGGGGCGGACGAGAGGGTGGAGGGCGTCCTGCTCGGCTGGAGCCGGAGGATGGGGCTACGTAACCAGCGGCGGTGCGTGGAAGCAGCGGCGCGGGTGGTTGGCGCGTGCCAGCGGGCGACATCGGCCCTGCCACTCCGGGTGGCCCTCTCAGCCGCGTTGTGGTTCGCCATCAAGCTCTGCGAGGACGAGGCGGTGCCGGAGAAAGGCGGCGCAGCGGCTCTCCGGCGGCTGGAGGCGTGCTCCGGTGTGCCCGCGAGGCTAATCCTCGCGGTCGAGTCCCGGATCGCTCGGCTCGCCGAGCGCGCCCGTGTCGCGGAGGAGGGCTGGGCCGAGTGCCCGTAGCCGATCCAACCCCGGCCACGCGTTTCTTTTTGCCTTTACTTAAACGCCCCTCACGTTCTTTTATATGTAAGAAAAGGGCACATAAGGTCGTAATATACTAATATGGCGTGCTGTGTTGAGCTACCGAGACAGGTGTCCGAGAGAAAGCTTGATCGAGGCAAAAGGTAAACCGTAGTGGTTCACTCGTTTTCCTTTTATTAGTGGTTGAGTCATTACATACTGCAAGTAAGAACCTCGTGTGGGTGGCTGAGATTAAGAAGATGTAGTCAGAACAAGTAAAATAATAACTATGATTGTGCTCGTAGATTTCGTTTGTATCTTGTGACACAATCCACAAGCTGAGTTGAAATCGGAAGCCTACTCACATGCATGCATGCATACTTCCTTTTAGTGGACATAAGATCTAAAACCAACCCACCTAGCTTCTTCCCTGATGGCCCTGGTTTGACGTGATCGATATCATACCAGCTCCAGCAATCATCTGAGCTTGTCCGTCGCTTCTCATCCCCTTCGTGAGCTCTTCCTCGTTCCGCAATTACGTGATTGCCTGAGATGAACTGGGCCTGATGCAGGAGGCGTGCTGTCCCAAAGAATGTGACTCAGATCGCCGTCGACGGTGGTGTTTCGGAACTCCGGAGAGTTGCAGATGACCGTGTGGAAGTAGGACGCCACTGGGTTAACCACATCTTGGCAGGTTATCCACTCCGAGCACACGGTGCTCCACGAATGATCTGCTTAGCACCACCCGAGGCGATCCTGTTCCATGTAGAAGAACTCGGAATATGTAGATCCGCGACGACAAGGTTTCTCTGCTACCGAGAGTGGACCTGTGAACATCTTGAAGGCATCGGGCATCGATCTGTTGCCGGTCCCAGAAACGATCTGAGTGTTTGTATCCAGATGGAGACTCGGATCTACGATGATATCTTCAAACCTCTTCTGCCTGCAGAAGCAATCCTCGGTTCACGAAGAAATCTCTTCTCCATGTCCATTAATGGCCTTACTCATTCGGTCAATGAAGTTGAGGTCCCTCGGCAAAGAAGTAAACGCATGAAGAAGATCTGCAGGAGGACCTCTATTTCAGATAAAAAGAGCTTAATTACAAGGTGCAGAAACTAAATGCTCACCATCCTGAGTGATAGCTGGATAATCCGAAGCACTCAAATTGATGAACCGATCCCAATATGGTCTAGTCTTCAGAAGAGCCGCAGCTGCATGAAGCGTTGCAGCGACGGCGGACGCACCCGTCCCCTCCACTGCACACGCTATTCCCGAGAGCTCGATAAGTTCGTTGGGATCGACCGGAGAGCGCCAGTTAGATTCGTTCGGATGCTGTTCAACCTGCATCGAGGTGCAGGAGGTAGCGATTCCTCGGGTGGTACAGCGCCATCGGCAGCCTTAGAATCTTGTGGTGCTCGCCGCCGGTGCCTGAGATCCGGAACGCAAACATCGGAGGATACCCGGGTCCCTTCGATGGAGCTCTGGTTGTCCCTTTGAACTGTAGGCATTCGTCTTCAACTCCGTGACGGAGCAAAGAAGCATCGAGGGAGAGTAACATGATGGAGCTGACTGAATGCAAAAACCGCAATGACGACGAGCCTCATTCGATGAACTCAGGTTGGGCAACTCTGAGACGCCCGAACATGAACACCGAGGAATCGGATTCCCACTGAAACGACAAACTGGAGCACTTGCCGAGGTCTGACTGCGATAAGCTAATCGGCATAAGCCACGAAGTCGAAAGATGATCATGTCGTTGTCATGATCAAAGACGTCGAAGAAAACCAAGCATTGTCGGTTTGTATGTGACCAATAACAAATAACGACATTTGACTAAGTTATCGGATGCATCATTTCTTGTGAAATGTTGTCAGCAACTGAATATTAAAATGCCACTGAGAGAAAGGCATGATGATAGGGTTGACAATTTGATAGCAGATGGTCGATATCTCGACATAAGTGAATGATACTTTATAATTGATTCTTTGACATTACTAACACGTAGTGGAGTGGATGAACATTATTGTAGCTCGGATTTGATGTATCACGACGAGTTAGGTCCGAAGAAAGCATACCATAACCTAACTAGGAAGGTAATGACATCCGAAGCTCATTATAAAAGAACTTCTCAAGTATGTTGTTAGTAGGACACACAATCTTTCATGTTAAAAGACTAGTTGAATCGTTAGAATCACTTGTTAACTTAAATATCTCTATTAGAGTATTATCGGGAACGTCCAACATAGCTTTATTGGTATCGACATCGACATAGGTAGAGTTTGACGAGTCTAGTGTCGATAGGATTTGACTTGAGACTATTTTAGAAAAAGGATTTCGGGTGGCTCCGACTTAGCTTTCACTTCCGATACTTAAAATCTAACTTAAAACCAAATAAAATTAAGAGTTGAGATTCATATATATCGTTCTGAAATCATTATAGGGTTCAGGAAAGGCCAGCTAGCTATTTGGGCCATTGTGTCTCATGCACATTCCATTGTTTTGCAAAACTTTTCCATAAATCACAACTTATTAACCATCTTTCAATCAGTTTAGCATCTGTGGTCAGCTTGATATGTAGATGAAGGGCAGAAACTAGTCATAATATCATGAACATAATCTCATTCTGGAGCAACCTTCAGGTATGTTGGATATGTTCATAAGATAGGCACATCATTTTCAAGGAATATTTCATCTGGCAATAAGTAATTTGCTTTCTGAGCTCATGATGTATCATGATTCCAATATCAGCTGGTAAATGCTTCAATTGCTATGTTAGGACCCTTTTTTTTTTAGCTCTTGAATAATGTTTATTGATCAGTTTAGTTCAGTTGTTTATTGAGTCTGTTTAGTTCAGTTAAAATTGGGTAAAAGTTTATTTAATATTTATTTATTATTAAGAGTCCAAGTCTGGGTAGACTCTAGGTGAAACTCTATAAATATTAATGTAACCCTTTCTTTTGCATTGAATCAATCAATCAATGAAATATTATTCCACTCTATGGACAAACCCTAGGAGGTCGATCTCCTCGAAGCGATCAAGGAGGGCTGATTCCCTCGAAGCGATCAAGGAGGGCCGATCCCCTCGAAGCGATCAAGAAGGTCGATCCCCTCGAAGCAATCATTATCATTCTCTTTTCTCCCTTTTTTTCCACGATAAGACATTAGGGTCTTATCATTTGGTATCAGAACGACGATAAGACTTTAGGGTCTTATCATGCTACACTATAATTTTCTTTTAATATGACATATTGTAATAACTTTTTAATGGAACCATTAGAAGAACTGTATCCAAAAAAGTGACAAATTGTAAGGCCTTTGCTTTAAAATCCAATTGCTACTACTGCGATAAAGCAATTTATCATCAAAGACAAAAGATTTCTACATATTGTGCATGGAAGACAATTCCTTAACCTGATGAGTAGATTGAAGATATCAGTCAAGCAATAATATCAACAACTACACCGCAAAAGAAGTGTAAATTCTCACAAACAAGAGACACTAAGTAAAAAACAGCAACCAATCTACAGATCCAATTTATTCAGATAGGTAGAAAGTTTGTCTCAGCGAAATATACTGCCAGTCTAACCTTCCATTTCAATTACATCAAAGACCTCATCAACTGTAGTAATCAAACTGACCTTCTTACAGATGTACTTGAACTCAACAAGAAGGTGAAACACAAAAAGGCTACACAATCAAACACATTCAGAGGATAAAAGTTCCTCCTTATGCAAATCATTGCTTCATTTTAGGCATTGCTAAAGCCAACAGGCAAAACACGATTATAGATTTGACATCTAAAACAATTATTTTAACGCCAACTAACTATATACATTATACTGGTATGACGTCGATTTTTGAAGTGTCCTCGCATCTCAATACGATTCCTTCAAGGTTCGCTGGGAGAATGCACTTTGCCCATTGGCATCCTGTTGAGAAGGGCTCCGAAGGTGGTACTATCATCAAGACATTGTCATTCCTTCTGACAATCCCCATTACACTAACAGTGCTGCCCTCTTTGATGTAGCTGCAAAGAAAAAGGTCTTGGTGCTTAGAGTAAAGAACATTATGTAGAGCTTGAGATGTTGCAAAGCATGATTTTATGCAGCACCCTGTTGCTAAGACATTCTGTCCAAAAAATAATCGATTAATATATCACAGAGGTGCTCATAATATTGTGCTTATATATTCATATGTCTGGATTATGCTCATGCAGCACCACTAGATGAAGGAAAGCAACAAAAAGAAGTACTATCTAATGAAACGCTAGTACCCTTCTTTCAAGCGCATAACACGATCATCACTGGATAGATTCCTTTTGCGCAACCACCTTAGAAATTCAGGCGAAAAGCCCTTGTTGTCCGGGTTGATGTCAAAAACAATAGACTCATCAACATATGGGGTCACCTGAGCACCATAGCCAGCTTTAACCAAAGCTCTCAAGCCCGATTGGAAGTCAGAGATATAAAAGTCAACCACATTCCTCTGCGAAAGAGTTATTTAGGTCAAAGTAATTAAAAGCAAGTATCTACAAACAAAAAGCCAATATGATTGACATTTCCTTGTAACAACAGTTTCAAACAAATCGAACGCTTTCCATATTATGGAAACTGAAACACCACTAGTTCCACTCGTTTAGATGCCCTTTAAATTAGAAACTGAGTTTGATGGAATCTGGAGGTAAAACCCACCAGAAATGGTTCATGGGATATCCCATGAGAATTAAAATAAAAGGACAAATATATTCTTTTAAACACGTATCACTTGTTTCTCATTAAGTTCAACAATTAGGGAGAGGCATACCTCCATTGATCTCAATCCCCAAGTAAAGTGGCGATGCTTCGAATTGGCAGCTTTGGAGTCCCAGCCCCTGTATTCATATAAACTAGTAGATGTGTAGACACATCTAGGAACTTTACTGTATGATGACTCAAGGGGAAAATTTCCGCATGTGACAACCTGCAAGAAACTCAAGTCTATCATCTTCAATAGAATAAATGCATGGTTATCGTAAAGCCAACATACATAAATTGACAGCAAATGAAAGACAGGAAAATTATCTAGTGGAAGTTCTATGTTGTGCCATATCCAATACATCCTAAATCTTAGAAATGCTAGAAAATAAAATAACAATACTATTTTCCTTTGTCATATTCAACAGGATATCTGCAAACAACAAAATGCAAAATTACTCTCCGTATTACTTCTATCGAAAACTATGGTTCATGTAGTCAAAATGTGCAAAGAATTTAGTAAGTAGTCTGACAGGGGATGTTTGTGGTAAGCAGGATGCTAATGCATGTGCTATATAAGTGAGAATTTTAACAAAGAACAGAAAATTGTCTTGACCATAATATTGTCTTTCGCCTCTAACACTTCTAAAATCATCAATAACTTTCTTAGGACGCTACATACCCCAGTAACCTTGACATATTGCCCATCTTTTGCTGTTTTCAACTCGGCATCAGGATATTGAGAAATGAATCCTATGATTGCTCTCCTTCCAAAGCAAGTGTTCCAAATGAAAAGCGAAGAAACTGCTCCAAAAATAATCACAACAACTATAAGAAGAACGGCATTGTGAACAGCTCCTAGAATGAAGCCCCCTGCTATGAACCCCATCACAAACAGCAAAACTACAGACCACAATATTGGCTTGGGCAAGCTCCCCTTGAATGAATAATCCTCCTCTTGACCAAGATTAGTGACAGCCTGATTATGAACAACAGTGGTGTTATGTAGCTTCACTGATCCAATTGAATTCAGTGGACCAGATACTTTATGAGGTACACTGCTCGAGTTAAGTGGTCCGGAATTAATTGGGCCAGATGTGATGAGTCCTGTAGCTGGGAGTGGTGGTGGGAGAGGGCCAGAGTTCTGGCGAGCCATTGGGTTTATACCTCCAGATTGAGGACCAGATGACTTTTTAATTGAATCCCCATGCTTAAGTGGTCCAGAATTAGACTTTTGTCTGTTTACTGAAGAATTAGAAACAGGAACTGCAGAAGAGAGGGAACCAGAATAGCTAGAACGACCAGAGGCATTAGGCATGACCGGTCCCGAGTGAGGAGCTGCACCTCCAAACGATCCATTTCTTAAGGGAGCACTGGGGAGAGGTCCAGATTTTCTAGACTTCTCCATGTGAAGATCAAACATCTTACCAAGTTCACCTGATTTTTTAATATCTCCACCTGTATATGGCATGGCAATTGAGCTCATTGTTGGAGGCTTCTCTTTTGGCTGTTCTGGCCTACCCGAAACATACAGGCCATTGCTGAGCTGATGCGATGGGAATCTTGAACCCATTATGCTTTAGCAAAACAGATCCACTAAATCTTGCTATATCCTCTGATGAATATCTACAATGATCCACAGGAATTAATCCTGGGTATCAGCTCCTGGCATCATCATGGTGAGTCAAAAGCTGCGACAAAGCAAGGATCCACACTTTATCTTTCAAGCAATCTTCTGACAGATACAAAGAACCACATCACAGATGATGAAAGGCATGTCCATGCTGGTAGAATCATGCATGTATAATATGGTTTAGTAAACAACATATGGAATAAATAAAATGACAATATATGTATCTATTTATTGTGACAGAAAAACTTCAGATTAAATATGGTGACCATTTTGAGTTATTTTTCCTCATAAATCGTCAATGACAACTCTATATCATTCCTCATAAATCCATCCAAAGTATTCAAGATCCCCTCTACTAAAGTGACCATCTGAGACACCCCACTGAGGTCCATTTAAGTCTCTTTTTATATCATGCCAATAGACGTGCAAGTTGTTCTAGTTCTTATGTCAACTACGCTGTAACTATGCCTATTGTTATTTTTGAATGCACCTAAAAAATGTTCTATAACTGATTGCTGTCGTCTGAAGTTTGGATTAAAGGAGATTTTCACAAAAGAGTATAGCCTTTATTAGCAAACAGTGTTAATTTTTAATAATTGATGTTCAGTGAAGCATTGTCAGAATATTCTGCAAATTTGATGTCGCAAGAATATGGCAACAAATTAAATCAAATTATAGACAAGTGTCTAATATCTTGCTCTTGCACTGGCATCCCATATGACCAAATTCATTCCCTTGACAAACATTAATGAAACAAAGATACATTGAACCATCGAGTAGAAGAAGATTCTCAACTGGCTCCAATTAAGGAAATAATATGTCTTAAAATTTTCATTCAACAAATTCATCTCTGAAGAAAAATTAGCAAGAACTCATTTGTAGCTTGTGGCAAGTAATAATAGCATAAACATTTGAGCATGGTATTACCATTAACGGATAGTGAATTGTAAAAGAAAACATGTTGGAGATTTGACTCTACTTATATCCATTCTCCTTCATTAGTTATTCACATACCCACCTTCCTTTTTATTCAGACAGTCTTAGTATCTGAGTTAGGTATCGTATATGGAATTTCAGGCCATATCATAGATCTCCGAAATTCATATAGAGATTGAAGAGAGAAGAAAATTTAAGGAACCCACATTCTTGTTACACAATTTTAATTATGTGACATGTTAGATTTCATCATGATACTTCTAATAACACCATCTTCTACATGGATCAGCAAGCTGAAAAAAGGCATACGAGTAATTAGTTGGATCGAACTTAGACTTCAAACAGTTTGTACATTTTCCGGAGTTTCTAGCTGTTCCCAGTAGTAGATCCAAATAATTCTAGAGCATATAAATTTTTGACAGAGATGTTACACCATCAATTCTAGCCCTGCACTATAATATTGGGACAACACTTAATTATGCCAGCATTTTGAACATCAAGAAGTCAAAGTAAGATGCAGGCCCCATATTGCAACTGGCAATTGCAATGTAGAACATGCTAACATGTTTGTTTAAGCAACTTATGCTGCACATCCAATAGGAATGATAACACATAAATCACGGCGCTGAATCATGAATCCAAACCAAAGAAGTACAAGAAGCAACCTCCCGATTAAAAATTTGTAAAGAATGTCTGTTCCACTGATTCAAATCCAAGTGAAATGTATCATTTTTCCAGTAATTACAGAGTCAACAGTTGAAACCAAATACAGCCTGTCACCGCATTAGAACGTTGATCAACAGATATTTGAACATGCACATTTGTGCCAAGCGATAATTTCATGAGAAACAAAGAACAACACATTTAATAGGAAGATCATACACTATAAACTCCCACAATTGAAAGAGGTTCGAAGTTGGTAGTATCTGTGATTAATGTTTTTGCCATATCAACAAATCCAGATCTGAATTATGAAAAGAAAAACATACCTTCGCATTCCCATCAAAACTTTTTTTCGAATAAATCCGATCATTTCCTAGAATTTAAATAAAAGAGAAATGAACATTCACACATCGACAAAAGAAAATTTTCTCGCTTTCTAAAAATAAAAAAAAATCACTTTTTTGCTAAATTACCCGTCTCCAAACTCCGCAAATTGAGAAAACAGACATAAATTTCAGCTGAATCGAAAAGAACCAAACTTGAGGATTCCGCCTACCGAAAAAACCAAACTTTACATCAACATTCTCGAAATCGACGCAACCTATTCCAAAGCAAGAACTTTTACCCTCCATCGGATTCACAGTAAGAAAAAGAAAGGATCTCGTTCTGGGTAAGCGAGCAAAAGATAGAGATCGATCGCCACGTACCTCCGAATCCAAATAGCAGCCGAGAAACCAGCAGTTCCGCAGCAGTCGACGGATGAGGAGGCAGGAAGTGAAGTAAGCTGCAAATGGATCACAAAAGAGAGAGAGAGAGAGAGAGAGAGAGAGAGAGAGAGAGAGAGAGAGAGAGATCCTTCTACCGAGTGAGAAAAGGTGGGAGATTATGTATACAAACCTGTCACCTGCAATGGTCCCTCCGCTCTCTCTCTCTCTCTCTCTCTCTCTCT